CGGGCAAAGCTTGTGGCCGGTGTTAGTGAGGTATGGGCATGGGGTGGAAGGTCCAGGGAAGCTCGGGCTCAGCCCCAGGCAAGGGTGGAAGGTCCGAGGATCTTGGGCAAAGCCCTGAGCAACCGTTGGCAAGGTCCGGGCAAAGCGCGTGGCATGGTCCGAGTGAGTGTTGGAAGGTTCGAGAAAGCTCGGGCTCAGCCCCGAGTAAGCGTTGGCAAGGTCTGGGCAAAGCCCGTGGCTAGTGTTGGTGAGGTACGGGCATAGGGTGGAAGGTCCGAGGAACCTCGTGCTCAGCCTCGGGCAAGGGTGGAAGGTCCGAGGATCTCGAGCAAAGCCTTGGGCAACCGTTGGCAAGGTCCGGCCAAAGCCCGTGGCCTGTGTTGGGAAGGTCATCGCAACTGTTGGCAAGCCTCAAGCAAAGCCCGCGGCTAATGTTGGCATAGTTCGGGAAAGAGTTGAAAGGTCTGGGAAAGCTCGGGCTCAGCCCCGGGCAAGCGTTGGCAAGGTCCGGGCAATGCCTCTGGCCTGTGTTGGGAAGGTCGTCGCAACTGTTGGCAAGCCTTGGGCAAAGCCCATAGCCAGTGTTGGCATGGTCCGGGCAAGTCTAGGCACGTCTGGGCGAGTGTGTAGCAAGGTTCGAGCAAGAGCTGTAAGGTCCGAGAAAGCTCGGGCTCAACCTCGGGCAAGCGTTGGCAAGGTTCGAGCAAGAGTTGTAAGGTGTTAGCATGGTATGGGCATGGGGTGAAAGGTCCGAGAAAGCTTAGGAATAACCCCGGGCAAGCATTTGGCAAGGTTCGGGCAAAGCCCGTGGCCGGTGTTGGCAAGGTACGGGCAAGGGTTGGAAGCTCTGGGAGAGCTCGAGCTAAATCCCAAGCAAGCGTTGGCAAGGTCTGGGCAAAGCCCGTGGCCTGTGTTGGCAAGGTCATCGCAACTATTGGCAAGGTATGAGAAAAGCTCGGGCAAAACCTCGAGCAAACATGTGGCAAATGTTGGCATGGTTCGGGCAAGGAGGTACAAGGTCTGACACATCATGACAGGCCCCTGGCACGTCCAAGGCAGGTGCTGGCACGTTCGGACCTGCCACGGGCAAGTCCAAGCACGTCCTGGTATGTCCAGCCTTGCCACGGGCAAGTTCGGGCACGTCTGGGCCTGCCACAGGCAAGTCTCGACACGTCTAGGGCAAGTCCAAGCACATCCTGGGACGTCCAGACCTGCCATAGGCAAGTCCAGGCACATCCCGGCACGTCCAAACCTGCCACGAGCAAGTCCTGGCATGTCCAGGGCAAGTCCAGGCACGTCCTGGTATGTCTAAACCTGCCCCAGGCAAGTCTGGGCACGTCCCGGCACATCCCGGCACGTCCAACCCTACCACAGGCAAGTTCGGGCACGTCCAGACCTACCCAGGGCAAGTCCTGGCACATTCGGGCAAGTCTTGTCACGTCCAGACTTGCCACGGGCAAGTCCTGGCATGTCCAGACTTGCCACGGGCAAGTCCTGGCACGTTCAGGGCAAGTCTAAGCACGTCCTGGTACGTCCAGACCTGCCACGGGCAAGTCCAGGCACGTCTTGGTACATCCAGACCTGCCATGGGCAAGTCCTAGCACGTCTAGGGCAAGTCCAGGCATGTCTTGGTATGTCCAGACCTGCCATGGGCAAGTCTTGGCACGTCCAAACCCCTACCACGGGCAAGTCCTGGCAGTGTAAAATGAGTCCTACCCATACCAAAATGAAATCTACTCATTACATTTGTGATTTCTTGATTTTATTAACTCAAACTCATCCTCCTTGACATGTTTGGGGGTTCGGCCGCCGGAGTCGCCGCCCATGGCGGCCCGTAGAGGCCTCACTCTTCAGAACAATCAAAAAATCCTAAAAAATTTTGTGGGTGTCCAAAAATTATAAAACTTGGTAAATTTCATCCTCATATCATGCCTAAGAAGCTTACAAAAAATCACACAAATTGAAGGTCTCTATGTCCCTCAAAAGGGGCATTGTTGTTTGAGCAAAAAGTATGTTTGTTCGTGCCAGAGTGGAAAAAGCCCATATTGCTCTTTAGGGGGGAGCTCCAACCCCCCCTCCCCAGCCAAGTGGGGCCTGACCTAGCAGCATGGGTCCCCTATATATTGATGGGACCTCGGACCCACGTGACCGGCAGGCGGCCGGTGGCAATCACCGGTGGCGACCGACGGCGGCCCACCGGCGACTTTTTTGACAAAACCTTAAAATCAAACGTGACGCTCGACGGGTTGTGTGTGTGTGTTTGAGGGTTCATTGGTGGGTCGTTTAGAGGGCATTTAGCGATAGCACGGTCCCTTAGCTTTTTCTAGCGAACCCTTCTATTGATGGTTGGTTTTCTTTCAGGGGTTCGTCGGTTATTGTTGAGGGGCCACAAAAACCATTTTGGAAAGATTTGGTTTGCCCTCCCCCCTTTCTGAAAGGGGGTTGGGAAACTGCCAGCCCCTCCTTCCACGGGCCTTGGCATGCGAAATTCCTTGGTCGCGCTGGTGAACAAGCTTGCTTTGTAGGCATTTGCCCAGGATTGGTTGGTAAGAAAGAGCGAGGGATGGGCGTGCCCTAGTTTACGAGGGAAATGATGGGCCTTTCTCATATTTGATTCCCGTTATACGCATGCGGACAGGCATAAGGGTTGGCATTTTATGGGCCTCCTCCGATTGCTTGGTATGAGGCAAGTCGTGATGGGATTCTTTGTCGGGGGGAACTTCATGGAACTTGCATGCTTGGGTTTCTCCCATCCTGAGTGAGTCCCGGAGATGCGTGCCAGGGCATCTTCCTCTGTGTGCTTGGTAGCTTTTAGCCTGATGGGGTTTCTTGCCCGCACTCGGCGCATGGCTAGTGGGCCCATTCCCTATCGAGCTCGGTAATCCATTCACATGCTGGCAGGCAATCAGGTGGTGCATCCTCCCAACTATGATATGTCGCATAGGGCCTACCCCTCGTGTTGCTTGATAAGCCTGCGTGGGGGCGGATTGCCGCGCGCGGTGGTGTCCGGGGGTACGCGAGGGGCTGGTGTTTTCTATCGTGGCGAGTGATCTCGTTGCCTCAGATTTGACGATTTTCTCAAATGTCCCAGCTCGATGTGTTGCTCATGCCTAGCGGTGTAGGGTCGGTGCCTCTTGTTCCTTCCATTTGCTTGCCTCGCCCTCCGGGCTTGCGGGGAGTAGTTGGCGCGAGGGCGTTGGTTCACTTGAACGCCCGGGCATGTGAGTGGTGCTTGGATTGTCTGTGTTGGTTGGCTTCGTGCCCAAGCATTGAACTGTCAAACACGCAATCGTCCTCATGTCTCGTCCCTTTGAAGCATTGCGCCTCGGTTTTGATTCGGGGGTGGTTCTTGTATTGCTTATCGCCGCTGTGGAAGGCGATGGCTTTGAGTAAGTTCTCCATCCATTGCCCCCGGAAAGGGCATCGGAGGACTAGATAGCATTTCTCATGCTCCCTCGAGCCGCCGACGGTCTTGATCGGGCCCTCAAGGTCATATGCTATGCTCTCGGATGCGGTGCTCTGTGTGGACATGGGGCGAGTGCCCTCGCTTGTCCCGGAAGAAGGCTTAACCTCTTAGAGGACCGTCGCACCTGCATCGTTCCCAGCAGGCCGGTGCACGGGCAGCACGCGGCGTCATGAAGGTTCGCTACCTGGTTGATCCTGCCAGTAGTCATATGCTTGTCTCAAAGATTAAGCCATGCATGTGTAAGTATGAACTAATTCAGACTGTGAAACTACGAATGGCTCATTAAATTAGTTATAGTTTGTTTGATGGTACCTACTACTCGAATAACCGTAGTAATTCTAGAGCTAATACGTGCAACAAACCCTGACTCACAGAAGGGATGCATTTATTGGATAAAAGGCCGATGCGGGCTCTGCCCGTTGCTGAGATGATTCATGATAACTCGACGGATCGCACGGCCCCGGTGCCAGCGACGCATCATTAAAATTTTTACCCTATCAACTTTCGATGGTAGGTAGTGGCCTACCATGGTGGTGACGGGTGATGAAGGATTAGGGTTCGATTCCGAAGAGGGAGCTTGAGAAATGGCTACCACATCCAAGGAAGGCAGCATGCACGCAAATTACCCAATCCTGACACGGGGAGGTAGTGACAATAAATAACAATACCAAGCTCATCGAGTCTGGTAATTGGAATGAGTACAATCTAAATCCCTTAATGAGGATCCATTAGAGGGCAAGTCTAGTGCCAGCAGCCGCGGTAATTCCAGCTCCAATAGCATATATTTAAGTTGTTGCAGTTAAAAAGCTTGTAGTTGGACCTTGGGCTGGGTTGATCGGTCCGCCTTCGGTGTGCACCGATCGGTTCGTCCCTTCTGCCGGTGATGTGCTCCTGGACTTAACTGGCCGGGTCGTGCCTCCGGCGCTGTTACTTTGAAGAAATTAGAGTGCTCAAAGCAAGCCTACGCTCTGGATACATTAGCATGGGATAACATTATAGGATTCTAATCCTATTGTGTTGGCCTTCGGGATCGAAGTAATGATTAACAGGGATAGTCGGGGGCATTCGTATTTCATAGTTAGAGGTGAAATTCTTGGATTTATGAAAGACAAACAATTGTGAAAGCATTTGCCAAAGATGTTTTCATTAATCAAGAATGAAAGTTGGGGGCTTGAAGACGATCAAATACCGTCCTAGTCTCAACCATAAACGATACCGACCAGGGATCAGCAGATGTTGCTTTTAGGACTCCGCTGGCACCTTATGAGAAATCAAAGTTTTTGGGTTCTGGGGGGAGTATGGTCACAAGGCTGAAACTTAAAGGAATTGACGGAAGGGCACCACCAGGAGTGGAGCCTGCGGCTTAATTTGACTCAACACGGGGAAACTTACCAGGTCCAGACATAGTAAGGATTGACAGACTGAGAGCTCTTTCTTGATTCTATGGGTGGTTGTGCATGGTCGTTCTTAGTTGGTGGAGCGATTTATCTGGTTAATTCTGTTAACAAATGAGACCTCAGCCTGCTGACTAGCTATGCGGAGGCGACCCTCCGCGGCCAGCTTCTTAGAGGGACTATGGCCGTTCAGGCTAAGGAAGTTTGAGGCAATAACAGGTCTGTGATGCCCTTAGATATTCTGGACCACACACACGCTACACTGATGTATTCAACGAGTCTATAGCCTTGGCCGACAGGCCCAAGTAATCTTTGAAATTTCATCGTGATGGGGATAGATCATTATAATTGTTGGTCTTCAATGAGGAATTCCTAGTAAGCGCGAGTCAAGAGCTCGCGTTGACTACATCCCTGACCTTTGTATACACCGCCCATTGCTCTTACTGATTGAATGGTCCGGTGAAGTGTTCGGATCACGGCGACGTGGGCGGTACGCTGTCGGCAACGTCACGAGAAGTCCACTAAACCTTATCATTTAGAGGAAGGAGAAGTCATAACAAGGTTTCTGTAGGTGAACGTGCGGAAGGATCATTGTCGATGCCCCACGAAAGATTGACCCAAGAACCGGTCGGAAAAGAGGAAGATGGAAGAAGATGAGAATCACCTACACCTATAAGTTGAAATGGCAAAGTGAGGAGAAAAGTAGAAGCTTTGAGTGTGATAGAAAGAAGACAGAAGAGAAGATTCACTCACAAATCTAAAAAAGTTGGGAGAAATGTATCTGAAAAGTCATCCAACCAAACAATAGAGGAGGAGGAAGATGGAAGAACCTAAAGAGAAAATGTGTTTGAAGAAGATTAACAATGGAAGAGGGAAGGAAAGAAAATAGAGAAAAGGACCTTTAGAACGAGACCTACTAACCTCTAAAATAATCAAAACAGTAAGCAACAGTTAATAGAGAATGGTGGACAATAGATGGCGGTGAACGGACAGAGAATGGCATGAGTCGACTACAACAACAGAGAAAGGTCAAACCTTTTCGATAGTTTATGGGTGTAAGAGAGTTGTTTTCTGAGAAAAGGAAAGAGTGAAAGATGCTGAAACATGAAATAGGGTGTTGAATCAGTTAAAAAACTATAAAAGAGAAACAACATCAGTTATTTTGTTGTTTCACACTTTTTACGTTAGTTTATATAAAAAAACTGATGTAAAAAGTTTGAATTTTAATTTTTTTATTTTGAGAAAGTTTTTCACATTGGTTATCCAATGAATCGACATGAAAAGTTCAATTTTTTTTATTTTTATGGAATTTTTCCACATCGGTTTTCAAAAAAACTGACATGAAAAGTTTGTTTTTATATTCCTTTTTGTTTTTTAAAGTTTTTCACTTTAGTTTTCTATATAATTGATGTGAAAAAACTTTTTTACGTCAGTGTTTTTTCTAACCAATGTTAAAACTCTTGTAGATAATTACATTTATACCACCACCTTTTTTATTATGGTTTTTTATAAAATTGATGTTAATTAGCAATGTAAAAACTTATTTTCTAGTAGTGGAGAGAGGAGAAAAAGGAGGGAGATGAAAACAACTCTAAAAAATTTTATTTAATATTTATAAAAAAATCAAAGGTTTAAGGTGTACTTTTGCCCCTAAACTAATTAAATTGAAACAATATTCCCCCTACTATTGAAACGTTTGTTATTGTAGCTAGGTGAACACACTTTTCATGAGTTAAGTTTCAAATTTACCCTTAAACCATTATCAGAGGAGAAATATTTCCCTCGTCATTTAAAAATCATAAACATCCATTAATTGTAGCTAGTGAGACCCACTTTTCTTTATCTCTCTCTAGTTAACACTGAATCAAGTCAGGATTTCAACTAGATTGTGGCATTTTAGTTGCTGAATTGGTTTTTGGGTAACCACTTTATCATGGTCTATGTAAAGGCTTTTTTTGTTTATAATGCATATGAGAGAGTATATTTATTTATGATAGTCAATTTTGTAACAGATCCACTCAAAAATATTGTTTATATGCTTTTTATTAGATCAAGAGCTCTCCTCTTGTAGTGTTTTTAGTTTGAATTTATGCTTCAACTATTGTCATATTTGTCACTGAAGAAAATTAGTGAAAAAATTGAGAATTCTTCTCAATGTATCATGTTCATGACTCGTTGGAATATTGGTGGAAAATATCATGACATAAATAAATACTTTCACATGATTATTTGATGTTAGAAAGGATGTTAATGAAATGGCACTAGTACAAAAAGTGCTTTTCATTATCTCTCTTTAGCTAACAAATGTTTATGATTTTTGAATAGCGAGGGCAACATTGCTCAAATTTAATTAGTTCAAGGGAGACATTGTTCTTTTGAGAATAGTTTAAGGCAAAATTATATCTTAACTCAAGAAAAGTGGGTCCCATTAGCTATAATAATAAATGTTTAAATGGCAGGGGCAATATTGCTCTGATTTAATTAGTTTGGGAAAAACATTACTATGATAAGTAGTTTAGGAGTAACATTGCTCTGTGAGAATAGTTTAGGGGTAAAATTATACCTTAACCCAAAGTCAAATACAAATGAAATTTCAAATTTTATTTATAGAATCCTAAAACTAATAAAATAATAATAATATAAATTCAAATTTTAAATCTAAAGCTAATTCAAGTTTAACACATTGAGAATATTAGTCATGCACCTAATTTGAAAAGGAATATTAATCATGCAAACCATCCCTTTCCAAGTCATGAATTTTTCATGAAGATAATGTTTGTCGATGAGTGATGGAGAAGCAAGCTTGATAAATGCTTATTTCTATTGGCTTTGCATTTGTTTATCTAAAATCATTATTGTCAAACTCTTAAATTAACTCTATGACTTTATCATTTTTATGCTTTTAGTTTATAAAATCATGTAAATTCACTCATAAACTCGAACTGAATGTAAACACAATTAACTCATGAGTTTAGACCTTGAGTTTACCATTTTTATATTTTTAACTTACAAAATCATGTCAACTTGCTTATAAATTTCAATTAGATGCAAACTTAATTAAACTCACTAAAGTCGTCAATTTTTTTACCAAATTGTGAGAGTTAAATATATACTATGCAGAAATCAATCACAAAAGTGGTAAGACCTGCTTCAAAAAAAAAAAACTTAAAAAGAAACAACTAATAGGGAAAATTGGTCAAAAAGACCAAGTTAGAAGCAAAATTGGTCCTAGGGACCAAATATTTTAAAGAACCAAACTTACTATTTATTCATTTAATAATTTTATTATCAGACCAAAATGCCCCTATCTTAACAAATAAATTTGAAAACAAAGACCACCTTCTTTGCTTAGTTTTTTCGCCTGATCTGAATAAGAGAAGACTAGAGTACGGTGCTGAGGGATATTTCCAACAGAGTATCAACAACAGTGTGAGCTGTGAGCGATGAGTTTTGACAAAGACAATCCCATCTCTTCACATGGTGCCTTAATCGAACAACTTGTGATCGACGAGTCTTGAGTGATAAGTCTTTAATGACTTTAAAGTACCGTGGATTAAGCAACAACGACTAGGTACGCATTGTGTGTTAAAGCTTCCATTTTGTCCAAGCAAGCACATTTTTGTTTCCTCTTATTATGAGTTGCTTCTTTTCTTCTTCATGCCCTCTAAACTTAGCTTATCTCCATTCATATTTGAGATTGACCCTAAATTTCCAATTTCCTGAATCCATTTCTCTTCAAAAATTTCATGTAAATCAATCCATGAATAGAATTGGGTTTACGAAAATTACATTTTATACATATTAAACTTCATGTCAAATGAATACAACCTTCTTGTGCCCCTACCTACCTTCCATGTAAACCATTATGTGACACCATGTACAATAATGTGTGGTCTTGCTAACATGTCCATGAGACAATTATATGCCTATGATCATGGTAACACACATAGAACACACAAGATTACATTGTGAGTGAATTGTCTTCAGTGTTAAGTAATATCTGATTCAATCCATTGCAAAAATTGAGTAGATCATACTTACAACAACAAAAAAGGCTTATGTTGGGGGAGTTTTAAGTTTAGAGTTGGATAGAAGAATACAAGCCAACCTAACCAACCCATTAGACAAGGATTTGCAATAGGATTTGTAGAAAATAAAGGACAATGAGAACATAAACTCAAGGATATCTCTTCAAAATTGAAAGGACCCAACAAAAGACTTTAATAAAAAGATACCCACCAAAAGATGCATCAACATCAGTAGATATTTGCATTTTAAACTTTTTTCTTCGAGCACAGTAACCATAAACTATTGATAGATTAATTACTAATCATGCTTTCTACTCAACAACTTCCCATAACACTCTGTTTAACATCTATATATCCTCGAGATCTTTAGCAACCTCAAAACCAGGAAAATCAAGGTGATTTGGACGGCTTGATAGTTCTGTGGGATCCCTTCCCTCTATTGACTCTTTCTTTAGTACATCAACTTCTCCCTTTATGAGCTCAAAATCATGCAACAATTTGATCCTTTTGGAAGGAGAATCCCCGTCCATACCTAAGTCATTTACTTTGTCTTCATCTAATCGGTTACTCTCCTTATCCCAAAAATCATGAAGCATACTCTAATTGCTTAGCTGAAGAGGAGCAGTGTTTGGTTTTAACCAACGAGGCATCCTCCCATAGGTGGTAATTGCAAGCTCTATGGTCTTGTTTGAAAACATATTCTTTTCATTATGTATGAGTGAATGATCATAAAGTTATTGTAATGACCCTTAATTTTGAAAAAAAAATTCTCCCAATAGATATATTATTTAAATAAATTTTATAATAAGTAGAATTGATAGTTTAGAGGAACTCATGATAAAAATTTTCCTTAGGATCTAAAGCTTAAATTTTTCTGCACAAAAATTTATTTTTAAAATTGTATGAAAATCTTATGCCCTTTTCTGTAAAATTTTTGTGCCTCTCATTGTAATTTTTTTTGGTTTCTCTTTTTGTAATTTTCTCATTACTTCCTTTGGTCTGAATCAGTTTTTTTCACGCGAAAAAAAAACAGAGCATCTCGATTTTTCTTCTCACCACCATCATACACCTCTCTAGATCCTCATATAGTCGGTTCATCTCTCTAAACCTTACACACATTCTTTGCTCGTTGTCAACCGTGAATTCACATTGCTACTGTTGCTTATCTGCTGTCGTTCTCGTCGCTCGTTT